TTTGTAATTTAGTACATAATAATTCCGAATTAATTGCGAGCGCTTATTTTCTTTTTAAAAAAACGTTACTCCTACACTAAGATTTTCTCTTGTATCGTGGGGGCAGTTTACAAACATTTTTTTTATAGAAGAGGGGGCAAACGAGCATGCGGCTCATCTGATGTTAAGTGACTACCGCCGCCCATGATCACCCGCAACACCAGGGGAATTGCAGGTGCGTTGCTGGCCCTTTAGAAAGGATTACGCTTTTTCTTGAAGGTCCCCAGATCGTATCGGTCCGGAAAAATCGCTGGTGGTAAACTATTCCACAGAGAGGTTGTACGCGGAAGAAAACTCCTCTTGAAACGTACAATGGTGGACCGCCAAGCATCCAGATGATCTGGATGGTATCGCGACGTTTGCCGCGTAGTGCGTTCACGAAATTTGGCGGCTGGGATTAATCCGAACAATTCCTCAGAGCACTCTCCATGGTATATGCGAAAGAAAATGCAAAGAGATGCAACATCTCTTCGCAGTGCCAGTGAATCGAGCCGATCGGAAAACACTCGGTCGTTGACGATTCGAGCCTTTCCGAGAGGATTCCGATACTGGCTGACGCAACAACGGGAGTCCCTTGAAACTGAGAATAACGACAAAGGGGTTCTTTTTAGCGGTTAACGCGCAAACTTGTGTCTTCTGGGGGTTAAACTGGACTAGATTTAGTCGCCCCCAATCCGAGACTCTGTTGAGCAAAGACTCGACTTCAGACACAAGTTTGTCCCGACGCTCGGAGACGTTTTACCGAGAAATATTGGCACGGCCGGTGTAAAGAGCATCACAAGTGCTGTCATCTGCATAGCAATGAATGTTACGGGTTTACAACATATCATTGATATGCAGAAGAAACAGCGTTGGCGATAGCACGCAGCTTTGTGGAACACCAGCATTAATAGTCTTGCAATCGGAGCTTGCACCGTCTACAACGACCTTGATGCCCCGATCTGCAAATAAGCTGGTGATCCAATCGCATAATTTCTCGGGAAGCCCATAGGAAGGGAGCTTCGAAAGAAGCGCTCTGTGCCAAACCCGATCGAAGGCCTTCGCAATGTCCAAACTAACGGCCAATGCCTCCCCCTTGGACTCTACTGCCTCCGCCCATCTGTGAGTTAGGTAGACCAGAAGATCACCAGCTGACCGACCACGGCGAAAACCGTATTGGCGGTCACTAATCAGCTGGTGATCCTCAATGTACCTCATGAGCTGGCAGTTCACAATGGACTCCATTGTTTTGGAGAACAAGGAGGTGATGGCGATAGGTCGGTAGTTGGACGCGTCTGAGCGGTCGCCTTTTTTAGGGATCGGGTGGACGAAAGCCGTCTTCCATGATTTTGGGACTACGCCTAGGGAGTAGGAGTACCGGAAAAGACACGTTAAAACCGGTGCCAACTCTGGAGCACACGTCCTCAGCATAATTGGGGGGATTCCGTCAGGCCCACTCGACTTGTGGATGTCCAGGGAGAGGAGTGCTTTGCGAACCGAGCGCTGTGTGAACTGCACTTCCGGCATGGAGCACTCACACCGCGGGTTGGTCGGCGGCGTAGTCCCCCTGTCATCGAGAGTCGAGTTGGATGCAAATAAAGAGCCTAGAAGATCGGCTTTCTCCTTTTCGGTATGGGCCAGTGAGTCGTCCCCCCTGTGCAGAGATGGAAAAGATGGCTGACAGAAATTGTCAAGAGACCAGAATGCACGGGTTCCGGAAGAAAGGCGAACTAGTTTCTCGCCCATTCTGCCTATGTGCTCTGACTTTGCCTTGGCAATGACTCTTTTGAAAGACCTAGAGGCGGAATTATACTTCTTTTTTAGAGCGCTGGTGTTTACATCCCGGGACGCTGATGCATCAGCCCAGGCTTGGTAGCACTCCTGCTTATAGCATGATGCTATTTTACAGGAGCGACCAAACCATGCCAGAAGGTCCAACAGGGAAGGTGCATGATCCTACACATCTGGAATCCGCGTAGGCGACGTTACCAGTTGTGTCAGACTATATGCCAAGGCAAAATCATGAACAGATCTCCCCCGCATGATCGGTTTAACGTGAACCAAGCCATTTGGCGTGATGGGCGTTAAAGTCGCCGAGGATCACGGTCTCTGCGGAGGGGATCTGCTGTAACAACGAATCTGTAGCCATTTGGACGTGGTCGAAGAGTCGGTCTGTTTCGGCATTACCGCTATGGGACCTATAGACGCACCCGTAGACGCGCGGATGGTCGTCGCTGTCTACTTCTAGCCAAAGGTTGGACAGGTCCGAACCTTCAAGTCTGCCGAGGCGTCGAGAACAGATGTCCTCTCTGACGTAAACGCAAACCCCAGCCCGAGGCACAAACGAGTGTTCCAGTTTGTACCCCGGGTAGGAGAGATACGGGACATCAGCCGGAGAGGACACCTGCGTCTCGGTCAGAAAGAGCAGAGCCGGCCTCGCCGTCTCGAGATGGTAGTGGACGGCGTAAACATAAATTGCACAAGGACAAACATTCAGACCTGAAACAACTTTATGTAGGCCATACAAATACTTGTTCCGTGCGAGATTCGAACTCCCGACCCCCAGCGCAGCTACTCATTGCTAAGCCACTGCGCCACGGAGTATAGGAGTATTCAGATTTAACGAACAACATGTATGAAGACAAATGGTTATGTGAAAGGGCGATTTTTGCACCAAAAAATGAAAGCGTTAAAAAATAAATTCAGATATAATAAGCGAAGTACCAGGAAAAATACAGAACAGAGCACTTCATATCCTGTAGAGTTTCTAAATTCTCTAGAGTTGTCGGGTGTGCCCTCACATAAGCTTCAATTAAAATTAGGCGTTCCAGTCATGCTAATGCGAAATTTAGATGCTCCTCGGTTATGTAACGGCACAAGGCTGCGTGTGACATATCTTGGACGGAACATAATCGGTGCTACAATTTTGACAGGCATAGGAAAATGTGAAAATGTTTTTATACCACGGATCCCTATAGTTTCCACAGATCTTCCTTTTTAATTCAAAAAGTTGCAGTTCCATATTAAGCTCAGTTTTGCAATGAAAATTAATAAAGCGCAAGGGCAAACGTTACAGGTAGCGGGGGACAACTTAGAAAAACCGTGCTTCTCTCATAGTCAGCTGTATGTAGCATTTTCGCGTATGTCAAATGCCCAGAATCTCCACATTCTTTCCCCAAATGGAAAAACATATAACATTGTGTACAGTAGCGTCTTAAAATAGTGTTCAGTTAGTTTTTTTTTCCAAAATTCCCACAATAAATTAATCACAATTCCCACAGATCTTCCCTTTCAATTCAAAATTTCCTATTTAGCTCAGTTTCTTTTCAATTCCAAATGCTGCACCTCTGACGGACCTATTAAGCTCAGTTTCCTTTTAACTCACAAGGCTGCATCTCTGACGGATCTTTTATTTGGCTCAGTTTCCTTTCAATTCAGAAAACTGCATCTCTGACGAATCAATTTATCTCAGTTTCTTTTCAAAAGTCTGCATCCCTGACGGATAATTATGCTCAGTTTTCTTTAAATTAAAAAATATCCCATTTCCTTTTGGAATAAATAGGCTATTTTCATGCTTTCCTATACGCTGCGATTCAAAACATTTAAATAGGCTGACGAATCAATTTTGCTCAGTTTCTTTTTAATGGCTGCATCTCTGACAAATCTATAAAACTCAGTTTTCTTTCAATTCAAAAAGCAATGGATAGTTTATTTCCCAGTGACCATGCGGGCGAAGCCGCGGGTAACAGCTAGTAATTTCAATATTTTTTTCAATTATTACCTATTTCATTATTTTCAATTGTCCACGAAGTTTTGCACTTATTTATGCTCGTGTTGATCAAATATATATTTCTATTTTTTTTTTGATAAATAAAAACATTTTTTTAAGATTTTTGAATAATTTGTGTAGATATATTTACCAAAGATGTCTTTGTTCATATAATATTTATATCTGAGTAATCTTTTCTTTTTGCAGCTAATCTTTAGTCTTTTACTTATCCATTTAGCTTTGTTGTATGTCTTGTTTATCTTTATTTTCATTTGCGGTAAATATAGTTTGTAAAGTAGGAGAAATGAGTCATGGAATTTTTAAATGCTCTATTTGTATTGGTTTCTTCTAAAATTTCATTAAATGTAAGACTGCCAAGATAGCCATTAAATTTTTCTATATTTTCAGAGCAGTAATCTTTTTTGTAAACGTAATAGGATCTAGGTTTTTGTTTCACAGATTTAACCGGTATATTCAGCGTTTGGGCAGTGTTGTGATCAGACAAATAAAGCGGTAAGATGACTGGTATTGCTGATTTAATATTAATTGATATGTATCGTTAAGTTATAATTTAGTAAAGGTATAGTACCTTTTCGGTTTTGATGTACCGTTTGCGGTGGGCTGGACTGGCTCATTACATGATTCGCTTACGCTTATTATATTCTCCATAACACATGTTTCATTTCAGCGTCGTATTGCCCCTACGGTTTCAATCATATCGTTAAATATTATTTTTATAACATGGTTATTCACATTGCCTGTGTACATATCAAACATTTTAAAGTCGTATTTAAGATGCAAGTTTGAGTCTACAACATAGGCGTATTCGTATTTTATATTGTTCTCGTGAAACAATTTATTGAAAGATTCAATCCTCCAGTTAAATAGGTTTAAATATTTTTTATACCTATATGTTGGCAAACAAATAATTACTTTAGTGTGTGTGATTTTATACAATATTTTTCGTATATAATTTACCAAATAACGACGATTAGTTAATCTTTTAAAATCATTGCTTCCTAAAAGTTTCACACAGTAATCGTTCATTGTAAAGTTTTTTTTTAATTTTAAATCTATGTCTAATAACAATTCCACTATTCCAGAACCAGGCTTACAGTAATGACAGAATCTATAATTATGAAATTTGTTTTCTAAATGTGATAATATGTCATTTTTATTGTCACAACTAAGAAAACATACTTTGTTTTTCGGACTAAGTGTGCTCTACGTTGGGTTTAGAAGATTTTGTTGATGTAAATGGTACATTTTTTGGTAGCAATGTCAACTCTTTTACATCAATTAATTCAATATAGTGGCGCAGAAAATTCAATTCTATATAGATTTTTTCCAATTCAATCTCTAGACAAGAAATTTCATCCTTTAAAGTTGCTATTAGCTGATCCTTATTGGGACTTGCGTTAGGGGTACTATTTAACACTTTATTATTTTTTTTGTATTTATGACTTGGTATAGGAGAATTTCCAAACTTGATAAGTCTAGCGTTATTCCTCCTGTATGTTTGTAGTTCTTCCTTTAGCTTCACGTTTTCCGACAGTAACTCCTCAAGTTCATTTTCAGTAATTTGGAGTTGTTCTTGCTTTTCGGTCAATTTTAATTTATACTCTTCTAATTCCTGGTACACATTTGTATTTAAGATAGGGAAGCTATGATTTAACAAAGTGGCTGATAGCGATGTTTCCTCGTCATCATCCTGTAGAGAAGCAAAAGAGTTTTCGGTGGTGACATTTACGTAATATTTTTTCATTGCGGTAACGTGTTCTTTATTTTCAGAGAGTACCGTAGACTTTGATATGTTATAAATACGACTACTTTCTTTATATGAGATGTCGCTGTTAGGTTCAGAAAAATTATATATTATATTATATTACATATACATATTTTTTACATATATGGCATTTTACTGGGAGCTTATTGCTGTTGGAAATATTATCTTTTGATGAAGCTTGCGCCATCTAGAAAGCATTTCTTGTAACAATGTAAACAGTGACGTCTAGCGGGTGATACGAAAACTTTTTCTGAACTAGTTCAGATAATTTTATTAGAGAAACGAGTCGCATACGCAAAGATGGACAAACACTAAGAAATTCAATACGTATTAAAGAGATTTCACTATATGAGTATATCTGATATAAGCAAAGTCTGATAAGTAGTTGGGTGAAATTAATCAACAATTAATGTTATGATCAGTTAAAGATTTGAATTTAAAATTAAGCACAGATTCAATTTAAGCTTACTATTTTTTCAATAAAAACTGTAATAACCACATCATATAATATGATGTTTATAGTAAATATTTAAAAAACATATTATTATTTAAAAAATATATGCTATTTATTTTAAATGTCAAATATTGTTACTTAACACTGTTAGATTTCGGCACAAACACTTGTACAAAATATTTGTATCTAATGTAATACTTTTATCACGATTTTAAGTCTATATACATAAATTTTGAATTTTTTAAATTAGAATAGCACAGAGACGATGTTGACAGCGCCGCGCCCTCTCGCGAACTTCTGTAAGTAAAACATTTTTCTTCTTCTTCTATATAGATAGTGACTCCTCTTGTCCTAATATTATACTTATTAGAGTGAAATGATGTAAAAACTTGCAATAGAGGGCCCATCGCACTCATTAAGCCAGCATTTTTTGAACAAAATTACGTTGAAATCAAGATCTAATTTTTTAGGGTCACTAGGAGGTTATAAAAGTTTTTGCGCATGCTTCTTATGTTTAGGCTTAAATTCCTAAACGAAAATCTAGACAAAACGTTTTTACTATCCTCTGGGATAGTTATATTATGGCTCTTTATCTACGATGAATTAACAATGATGTGGAGATGAGTGTAAAATTGATTGGAGTATTTTGGCATTAAATGGGGGGAGGGCCATATAAACAGAAGGAGGGGTATAATTATCCACGAAAATTTTTGAGAAAAGTACCTTGGGGGAGAGTTTGTGTAGGTGTGTTAGAATGTTTTTGTTATTGCGCTTACAGTGATGAAAAATTCAAAATTACGATATGTAATATATAAGAAAAATAGTGACCATATGGGATATAAATTAGTGACAAAATATCTAGGCTCTTGAGACTAAGATAACATTTACTTAGTGGTTGCCGTATCCGTTTTGGTTTGGGCACAGAACAGGCGGCTAAGGTCGTTTTTCGACCTAATGCGGATTGCGGCGCTCCCTCCCTTAACATCCCCATTCCTTTTAAATATGGATCCTTTTCGCAGCCAGCAAAACTTCTAGCCTTGTTCGACGATGAATGCTCTCGCAGTACGAAATAACCGTTGATTTTCTCCAGTAAGACGCTTATTAACGTAGATCACATTTTCGGGCCCATGATTCAGAATGTTTTTGCTCTTTCGGTTTATTCTAGCTTTCGCGTGTTTAAGGAATTCATCACGGTGGGTGTAAGTAACCACCAAGGAACGCTAAAATTTACGATTCCAAATCACGTTAGCTTGGTTTAGGTTTTAGGAACAAGCTCGGTTTGCGTAATTCAAGTCCATGTCCTGAAGCTTAATGCCAGGTTTAGCAGCAACAGTTAATATCAAGTGAGTTAGGTTTTCTTTTTGGAGTTTCTTCTAGACCCAATATTTCCAGCTCATTTCCTAAGGCAATCTGAGCTTGGCTGTATAGACGAAATTTCAGATCGGCAACGGGGGCTTTAACGACATTATTTTCTTTTTCTACAGACTTTGAACTAACTAACTTTATTCACCAATCATAGTCGGCCAGTTTTGTGTTAAAGGCGTCGAGTCATTCGCGAAGGTGGGTGATGTCCTTTCTTATATCAATACTTATCTTGGATAACTTATAAACAAGCAGCGCGCCAAACTGATCATATGTTATTGCCGCAGCGGTAGGGCCCACCCCTACCGCTGCGGCAATAATATTTATAGTAGAAAGTTGTCTATGAACCGGTGTTGTCGTCCTTGCATTGCGTAGTCCGATTGCAGGAATAGTATTATCAATTACTTTTTAAGTCTAGCAAATTTTCTTTGTAATAAGCGAAGGATATTTTGCAATATTTGTAGTGATAGCATCCCTTGCATGCAGAGCAACTCATCTGTTCCTCTGGTCGGGTAAGTTTATGACAGGTCAAACAAATCATTTTATTTCTGCTGTAATATTCTAAAACGCGTAGAGGCAAGCAACGCGCTGCCGAGAAACTATGATGTGATATGAGTTGTAGATGAATAGACGGGACAAACAAGTTTCGTAGTCAGTAGAAATTCCCACAGCGACTCAAGTCACTGTACCGACGCGACGTTACGTGTCGATACGTCGTCTCTTCGGGTGTCAATGGGTTGCTTTGGCGGCCGGTGGTAATTGACCTTAGTAGCACACACTGCGATGGACGAACTGAGCGCACACAAATATTGAGGTAGGTCACGGTTTCAATTAATATTATATATTAGTACCTGGTTGACCGAGCTTTGCTCGGTATTTTTCGCCCGGTTTTTTTTTATTTCGTGCGTTTGTGGAAATTATATTTAGATACAAATTACATACTGATGAAATAAGAATAATATTTTTTGATCTTAGCGGCATAATAGAAAAAACTGAATTGGTTATTTGAATAAAAAATCATGAGTACAATTACTTTAATTTAAATTTTCGTGTTTAAAAAAAAGAAAGGAACTTGAAAAAAAAAATTTAAAAAAGTCGGTCGGTCTGGACTCGAACCAGGGTATTACGATTTTGTGACCGCCCAATATACCAATTAAGCTATTTATAATCATTAATAAGCTGTCAAAATTTACCTTCTTATTCTAACGATATTGTAGCAGTTTTTCATTGCTTAAAAACACGGACAAAAAGACATTTTCTAAAAATAAATCCTAGCTAGATCGATTTATTGCCTCCGAAACTCCCTGGACTCAAAATTTTATGAAAATCGTTAGAGCCGTTTCCGAGATACCGATTATATATATATATATATATACAAGAATTGCTCGTTTAAAGGTATAGGATTACGGGATTAGAAAACGGATTGCGGCACTTGAGAGAGCTGTAAGCTGCCTTTAAGTAGATACCAGTTTTGACAGTAGCTACTAAGATTTTACACTGTTTTAGAATATGTCTCGAGAAGAAAACAGTTATGGTCTTTACTTAGTAACGGTCGTGGACGACTCTTCAAATATCAGAGCCATCCATTTACTCTATTGAAATTAGAATGTTTTTTTTTTAATTCCACTAGCATCGCGTATTATATCCTTCGTCTAATCAGTGTTTTGGCGAGGATTTGTGGTTTGTCAAATCTGATGTAATTATAGGAACGATATTAAATGTGTTCACAGACTGCAGTCTTTCCGAAGCAGCGGTGTTTCACGTCAGTTATATGTTCTTTCAAACGGATTTCATAGATATTTTTGTTTGTCCTATGTAAGAGAGACCACATTCACATTCTAATTTGTACACTTCTGCATCATTTAGAGTAATATTACACTTGATGGATGGTAAAAATTGACTAATCTTCTTCAAATGTGTAGTATTTTTTTAAATATACTCGCTTGTAGATGTCGCCAAACTTGTCTGTAACTCCTTTGATATACGGTATTACATCAGGCACACGCTCAACTGTGGTTGGCTTCACTCGGCCACTGTGACGTAGGTGCGGGACCTAAAGCTTGTTGACATGCAATTCTTGCTTGACGTGCTGAAGCTTGGCGGCCATATATTTTATGTCACATAACGCTTATGCTGTCTGAAACAAAAATTTACCCACGGTTGCTAAATGTGAAGGATGACGGTGAGATTCACCATTTAAATATCGGTTGCTATGGGTCTTTTCCTCTACACATAGACATCTACATCTTTCCTCGACTACGGATCAAAATGCAGATGCGTGGTCAGCATTGAGGACTAAGATGAAATGTCTCGTTTCCATTAAAAGGGGTTTTCGGTTCTCTACACTCACCATACGAAATACAGCAGCGTTAAACTACTATTTTACGCTGGTAGTGGTATGTGAGAGTGTGGTCCTTTCCTGGTAAAGCCGACCCATTCGTGCCACAACCATACTAATAATATAACTGCAGCATGGCTCCACCACGTATTAACTAGCTATCTAGCTAGCTAACGAATTATTTGCCTCTAACTCCATTATGAATTGTATTTTTAAGTAAATGGAATTAAGGTGGCCTAAATATTCAGTTACTTTGTCAGATATTAAAAATGTGAAAGTGTCGTCTACGTATCTCTTGTAGAATCTTGGATTTACAGGAGCACTAATAAGGCTTTCTCCTTTTTCTCCTTAAAGTCCGTCATGAATATGTCAACATGGGCGTACAGATCGTCGATACTGTTACCACACCATCTGATTGCTAGTCGATTTTTTTTAGAATAGGGTGACAAAAGAACAAAAAAATATGCGAACTAAAAATTGCAGTATGGAAATTGAAAGCAATAGTCAAATTTCACTGTGTATAATTAATATAAGAATTTAAGACTGTGACGCCGCGGCTAAGGGACTTCTCATTAGAAAGATTTTAAGCCCGTGACTATCAATTTACCACGTTATGTAATAAGACGAACATGATGATTTAATAATTAATGATACTGTGGCTCTTGTAGTACCTTACTATCAGCTTATTATGTTCGTTAATCAAAGTCTAAGAGATAATGCAAATAGAATACGTATAAGCCGATTAAACCGACCACCGATATATTAGTGTTTATTTTACCTTTAAACATCTTCATCATACTTAACTTATATAATTAATCCTCAATA